TCTACTAAAGGTAACTATAAGGAAGATACTTTCAGTTGTTTATTTATTAAGCATACTATGATAGTATAACAAATAATTATGTGGAATTTATGTACCAGACCTGATAGTAAGATAAAATCTAATTGAAAGCAAGTAGAAATAATCAGGGAGAAATATTTTAAGTACAGAAGAGACTATTTAAGCCTTTGATTCCTGAATTTGTTGATAAGAGGAATATATCTTTTATAGACATTCCTCTTAAAATCATCACATAAAATTTGTCATGATAGGGTTCTAAAACCTAAGTGGTTGTGTAGAAAGTCTTGGCAGTGTTACGCCGAGCGTTGCATGGAAAATTGTCACACTTTTTGGGTCAAAACTGATTTAGAGGCTAATCTTCCGGAACCATACCATTTGAAAACCCCGCGATAGTGATTTCTTTGCGCTAAACCTAGCGGATGGGAACATTTCTTTGTATACAAGCTGCTTCAAAACCTCACTTAGGCGGTTGCCAGATGGCTGGAAAGGTCCTGGCCCTACCAAAGAATACCTGGTACACCATGCTGCCCAAATGGTAGGTTCCACGGTTTCTGTGCGGATACTTCTTCTCCGAGCCACTTTGAGCTGCGGTGGCGCGGCGCAGATAAATGAAGCCACTTTCTTCAATGAACTAGGGTCACAAGCACATGCTGACTTGAGGGGAGCATTCATCTCACAACCTTCAGTCCCTTGTACCAGCAGGCTATGGGATAGTGATAGAGCATGTGCGGTGCTAATAAACTTTACCGTTGCCTGTATACACTCAGAAACCTGCTCATTACGGTCGTGCTATATATGACCCCAACATACTTGCCTGCGGCCATGACTCCGACCGAGGAAGTCTTACTACCTCAGCACCCCTTTAGGACTCCTCAAACAACCCCATAGTACCTGGGGGATCAATAACTGCGATACCCTCTAAGGAACCTCAAGGGTGCTCGGGCGGGGACACTACGCATACACCCTGGACCCTGTACGTAGCGATTTATTTTAACATTTATTAAATCGAAATAAGGTGACAATTCCTAAAGACATATATAAGTCAGTTAATTTTGACTAAAGCCTGCAAGGGAATTTCCCAGCCCTAGCAAGCATCATTTGTGGCTTCGCTATTTCCGGTTCTTTTCTCTTTTGGCCGTAGAATTCAGAACCCACGGGTGGTGTGCCGTGATGAAGGTATGAGAGTAACAAGAGGATCTTCGACATCTCGCCCGCGGCTCATTCGGCAACCGTCACGGAAAGAAGAACCACCAGCTCTTCCGCTTTGACATCTGGGAAAGGGGTTTCTCCGATATTGGCGATTTGGAATATAAATACCTAGGCTTCACCCCTCAAAATTACGCCTCACCAACCCGCACTTTAGTTGCAATTCATTCGTTTCACTCTTTTCACTTCATTTGCTCATTTGCAGCCTTCCGGCCCAGTTATGTCTATACAAAGGTATCTCTCAATCGCTCTCCTTGCATTCGCTGCAGGAGCCCGGTCTCAAAGCGCCCCTGGCCCCACTCAGCCAGGACAGCCAGCTACTTGCAATAAAGTGAGACTTCCTTTCTTCATTAGGGGCCTCCTGGTGTTCATTGTTCTGATAGAGTACAGTGGGTTCTCGTGGTTGCAGGAGACACCTGCAATATTATCGTGGAGAAGACTCCCGGGCTCACACTTGAGCAATTCCTTGCCTGGAACACAGGGGCCGGGAGTGATTGCACCACACTCTGGGCCGATAGCTATGTACCTCCCCTTCTCCTCTCAGATGCTTAGAATTCACAACTCACAGACTTAAAACCAGGCCTGCATTGGTGTAAGCTCAAGCGAGGCTCCTAAGACTACCCCTCCTAGCACCCCTCCTACCGCCCCCCCTTCCAGCCCTCCCACCAGTCCGCCTACCACCCCCCATTCTAGCCCTCCCACCAGCTCGCCTACAAAGCCCCATACTACCCCAGTGCCTACCGGAGGGGTCTCCAAGCCATCCCCGGTTCAAGATGGACAGCCCGGCGACTGCAATGGTAGACTCCGTGGCTTGCTTTAAACACCTAGCGCTAACAATGAAAAAACAGGTTGGTACCTAGCCAAATATGGTGACGACTGCAATAGCATTGCATCCATCTACAAACTCAGCCTCTCCGAATTCGTCGCCCTGAACCCCTCTGTCGGGAGCCAATGCGCGGGCCTGCGGTTAAACTACTACCTGTGTATATCCCGCTCGTGCCCCCCGACGCCAACTCCAACCACGATGAAAACGTCGACGATCCCAACTGCCCCTCAAGTCCCAGCCCCGACCCCAACACAGGCTGGTATCTCACCTAACTGCAACAAGTGGTACTTTGTGGTCTCTGGCGATACGTGTGCAGCCATCGCCACAGCGAATGGTATCAAATTGGCGGACTTTTACAGCTGGAACCCGAGCGTCGGAAGCACGTGTGGCAGCTTGTGGCTTGGATATTACGTCTGTGTTGGCGTCCCTGCTTAAATCGGGGGGAGGGTTTTCCCAATTACTAAAACCGCCCTCTTGGAGTGGAACATGTATTGTAGCTAGTTAGTTAACCTAAGCGGTCAAAGGTTAGAGGTCGAAGTACGGGTAATAAGATAATCTTATAAAATTATCCAACGTCGCCACCCCCGTCTACCCCCATCCGGCACCCGGAGCCAAAGGATCAGTGTGGTTCCATCTTGGCTCTCTCGGTCCGGCCGGATCTTGAGGTGATTCCGGTAGCTTTCCCGAGATTTAAGGGTGTGGACTACCGGTACAGGCAGTGTCCCTGGGTGAGTGCGCCCACGTGCTGTACTCGGGGGTAACCATAAGTCGCGGGCACTTCCAAAACAGTATGGGTTTTTGTGTGGAAACTAGCCAAATTAGGAAATATGAGTGATCCCTCATGATAAAAATTGGTGGCCGACAAAAGTCTGGCGCACTCAGTAATTCCTTATTTATAGTATACTGTTGTCTGCCTAAAAGCAAGCCCAGTGATGTGTGGCATTGCCAACTTGCTTCTACAAATACTTGTATTCATAATTCAGCACCTATCTGACTGATTAGAAGATATTGTGTTGTTATTGTGTCCTTAAGGGGGGTGTTGTGTAGATGGAGAAACCGCGCTCGCAGCTGGAATCTTATGATTAACATAGGGGGGGGGTGGTTGCCCGGACCGAAAAATGAGCCAAGCCTGGCAATGGGAGCGCCCCCCACTTACCCTTGTACCCGAGTACAGTACGTACTCAGGGAATTCCACCGTACGGTAATTACTCCGGGGCCGGAAAGTGCCCAGGAACCGGGATAGCTCGATATCTCGCTCGCTTACTCAATTGAATGTAGGTCCGCTGCGATCCGGTGATGTATATACGAGTATAGACCAGTATGCTGAATGAGCGCACATGGCGCTGAGGAATCCCCCTCCGCCACCCGCTCGAGCACCGGTAGTTGTCTTGGAAAAAGGTGGCGGCGCTCGTCGGGTAGATTCTAGTACCTTGCTGTGCTTCACCATAGGGGACTTAGACAAGATCATCATCAGGTCTAAGCGACGAGATAAAATGGTTATACTAGCGCTATCAACGAGCCGATTGAGGATTGATCTGGTTGTAGGAGAGAGCCTCGCTGGCTTGGTGCGAAAAGTCGCACGCACAGTACCCGGTAGAGCTGAAAGAATTAGCCATTTATACCGTACTTGTAGTGCACTATGGCACAGCACATGTAGAGTGCTCCACTGTACTGTACTGTACAGTACACAGGCGCAGTTTAAAGATCCGGACACAGCAACGCCCAATCCATCCCTGCACCCCCATCGCTAATCGGCCCCCGAATACCGGTAGCGCTTTATTGCGGAAGATCAGCTACCGTAGCCTACAACCATGACAGTTCATCTCCCGCCAGGAATTCAACAGAACCGAACAAAATGAAGATTCCATAGCGTATTTTTTTTTTCTTTCCTTCTTTCTTTCACGCCGGGCCATCTGCGTATCTGGCGTTCCGCCAGCCGTATGCTACCGTACTGCACCCTGCAAATTGCCATACCCCCCGGGGCATGTGATAATACCGTACAGTACAGTACAGCACTAGAGTAAATTTACTCCAGCATGGAATATGGCAGAGTGCCAATTTGGGAGGATATCATACAGTACGAGTACAATACAAATTGTTAACCGCGGCGGAGTTGAAAGTGCGCTAGTGGTAGAGTAATAAATGCACCAATAATGCGGTGATGCAGACAGAATAATTGCTGTCGGGTGCAGGGTTACCGTATTACGGTAGCTTACTGGTATCATACCGTCGAATGCCGCAAAGATAATTTTTGAAATGATGCCAAGAATGCCTGCCTATATGTCCTCTCCATAAAAATTAGAGTACTGTAGGGTGCAATATAGTGCCCGGGAAAGCTTTTTCCTAGCATCCTATATCGCTTTTGAAACCGTTGCACGATATGATCCCCGTCTTTCGGAGATTTTCACGATATCGTACTCTAGAAGTGGGCTTCTTACTCGAGTGGTGCTGGGGATTTAGGCTGCGATGGGGGGTGGCAAAAAAAGAACCGATATTATACTCGAATACCGATGCGGCATGATGATGGTTTTAGGGGTTTTCTGGTCACGTTTTGCGGGTTTTCACCCATAGAATCTCCTGTTTGGGATGAGGCTTAGCAGGTGGAAATTTTTCACCTGGAGGCATGGCCTTGCCTTCCTCAGAGAGAGAGGAGGAACAAAGCACGAGGGACTCATCCTGCACAGCCACCTACGCCACCTTCTTTCCTGTTGTTTTCGGGTGCTGTTGCCCCACTCTTTTATCTCGCTTTCTCACTGTGTCTTACTGTCAACTTTACCAGCATAATTCTGCTCTCTTATCCGATTGAATTTAACGTCATACGGTCAACCATATTGCACAGGCATCAGCTCTGTCACTCACACCATCCAAATTACGGAAGACAACAGAGACACTTTTACACCGGTACGGTACAGTGCAGGGCATTTGCTCGCTGGCTGTTAGTCCTCCATCCCGGCTAAGGACTCCCTTCCCCTGGTAGGCAAAACCCTGGTAGCGGGTACGGATAAAGAGAGTTCCTTCTTAGGAGTAAGCGAGGTTTAAGTACTCGTATATGCGCCGCATTAGCGGAAAAGTCGCTTCCCGGCGCGTGTTGCCTTCAGCAGCATATTGGGACCTTTAGTGCAATCGCACCCAGACCGCTACCGTATCCGCAAGGTCTCAAATGAATGTGTGGACATATTCGGCCGGGAGTTCTACTTCGTGGCGGGAATTACGGCATAGTGCGTCACCGTAAATTATGTCCATTTGAATACCAACAGAATGAGAGGAAAATACCTCGGTCACAGCCGAAAGTCCGGTACGAATCGCAATGGCACTACAGAAAAAAAATGATGCGGGAAATGGTAAGAGCAGAGCGAGAAAAAGGTTAATTGACGTGGATTGTGGGTTTGATGAGATGCTTATATCCCGAGGGCATACCGGTACCGGTACTTATACTCCTATTACTTCTGGGGAGCTACTTTCTGGCTCCCTCTGAGAATGCGGTGTTGTAACATCATGACTCCACCCTCTTTTTCTGCCACAGTACGGAGCCACAGACTGGGCTCTTTTTTTATTTAGGGGATCCATGTTGACAGAACTGCTTGGCGCAGGGTTTTTAGCATTGCACCTGTTATACACGCACTGTAAGAACTCGAATAAACGGTCCTTGTGCTTTCTATTTTGGAACTTACTGCTCTGGAAAAGGGGAGAAAACGCACCAAAAAGTCTGCTCTCCGAGACAAACAAAAAACTAAAAAACATCAGACCTTAGTAGGAGAGACAAGTCTAATGTCCTAGCACAAGGACCGTTTTGTTCGAGTTCTTCCGGTACCGTACATCTCCGAGGTACTTTCCGGAATCCATTCTACAATATCTTCGTTGAGGTCGTGGTCTACTGGGTCAAGTTGGTCGCCCCTGTTGTGTGTATACGGGCAAAAATCCGCATAGTATTATGGAGATAGAGGACGGCGATGTTGAGGGTTTGTAATCCTAAGGGTCAGAGGTGATTGTGATCTCACACTGTGCTTGCTCCGGTACCTATCATAGATAGCTCGCTCACACCCGTGTGATACCATACAACAAAGTTGCATCCACCTCACCACCACATCCACTCAATACCCCCACCCGGTCCAGTGTGTGGAGATCTGACTCCAGAACCCCTACCGGGTCGTATGGATCCGTTCCCGACTTGAGACGGTCTTCTACCTCGTCTCGGACATGCAATCTTCTGATGCGCGGCCTCCCGGCGACTACAGTAGTGTAATCTTCCATCGAACAGAACAAGGATCTCGGGCAAGTGTCCTGCCACATATCCCTCCCGACCACTAATGCCTGAAGATATTTGCCCCCCCCCCCGGTGGGGACACTTTCTCAGAGCTTGGTGTTTTCTAAAATTGGCTGCTTCCGCCATCCACATGTCTCTTTGTTTTCTCAAAGTTAAAGGCTTGGGCTAACTCCTCAAGAATCCATCTCGCCCAAACTGCAAACCACGTGTTCCTGGAGAGTGCCCAACTTGCCCGCCGCTATTTGCTTCTTCCGGGCGGCCGGACCGAGCAAGCGCAGAAAAAGCCAACAGTAGGCACCCTCCCTGACCATATCTGCTGACTATCATAAGGAAACCGAGATCATAGTTTGCAGGCACTTGGCCGCGCTCATGCATTTTCGCTTTTTTCTGTCCATAGTAGCACCTGTCACCTACTATCGGGACCGTAGAGCCTGTAATTCCCATAACGAATCAAGACCGGTCTACCGAGCTCACACATCCCGCAACTCTGGGGCGAGCTTCCGTGCTCCTCAATATGCAATAACAAATTCCCTAGCAGAGACCGGCGATCTCCAACATCTCGATAGCGGGCCCGGGATCACAAGGGAGCAACTAGGCCAAGGTTTCGTCCCCCTTCTTTCTACTAGTGCAATGGTTCCGGGGATTATCGACGGCCACCCGCAAGGTTATTAGAAGGCCTGACATGGTTTTGAGCACTTTCTCAATTTCTTTCAATCTCCCAAGTTGCGGTTAGATATTGAAAGAAAAGAAAAAAGTTGCGGGAGTGCGGTTTTTTCCATTGTTGAATAAAGGAGGAGGGTGTTGGAGCAAAACAGAGCATCAAAGAACTCTGCAGCTAACACCGGATGGCAGCATCGCAAAAGTTAAGGATCAAGCGTTAAGGTGGCTGCTTACCGTTAAGCCCGCTGTCTCGAAGCTGGTTGAGCGACGGATCCCCGATCCACATAGGCTTATGACACCACTGAAATTCCAGTCGAATACAAATCTCCGCAATTTAAGCCAGAATCTGACGGGACGCGGCGTGTAGCAAGCGAAACATATACGAGTACATAAAGTCCAAAAAAAATTACTTTTTTTTTTGACACCCCACGGACAGTAGGCATAGGCATATCATTGGTGGCTCAGCAGTCATTACACTATATCACCCAGCGCTGCTTGCAAGACTACACGGAGGGCAAGGTGTCAGCGAAGCGGACCTAACCTGAATGACATTCCACTCTTTCAGAGGCCACAGATTCTACCGGAATTCATTCCGGAAAGCAATCACATAACTCGAGAATTTCTGAATTACGATAAAGAATGCGATACTTGCAAATTATTTTCCACCCTTCGCACTGTTTGTCTAACGTGGGTGGGATCGGCTGCGATGCTCTTCAACAGTGAATAGCCATCTCAGTAGATAAGAGACCTCCAGGTTCATACCGGTGAGACCGTTGCACCGTTCGGAATGAATTTCAGGATACACTATTTTCCCCCCACCAAATCTGCTCATAAAACACCATTTACTTCTCCGCCTCTGCTCAACCAGACGTGGATCTAGATGGTCGAGCAATCGTTCCTCGAAATATCCAGCCCCTTCCCCACTTACTCGCTATCCATTGCATGCTCCCTTTACGTGCCCTGGAGAGCTCGTTGGGTATTGGGCCAGCTTACCGTGATGGGTTTACGAGAACACACTCTGGGGTGGGGGCGTTACTCCGCCTCTATCACTTGATCTCTCTGTGCAGAATTATACTCTGACTGCTGGATAGGTCCCACGTACGCAAATATGCGATAGATATCTCTTCTTCTCGATAAACTCCTACGTCACCAACCGAACCCCCCTTCCCTGCCTTCCACCCACGGTTTCCCGCCACAAGAGCCGCTACAATGCTATATATACTCTGTTCCTTGTTACAAAAGATGGAGCGACTCTTGGTGGAGTTTATTTTTTTTGAGCAGATGTCCGTCTCCCAAGTTGATTCTATTAGAAAAATGTGTGCTAGTATTTATAATGTCCAGTTTCTCCTACTCCCCGGCCTGAGGACTTTATCAATTGATAAGACACCCTACACTCGCACATTGAATTGCACCCCCGGTAGGCCCCACTCACCCCCGAAAACAAACCACTAATCAAATCAATGACCAAACCAAGGACAATTGTATCGCCGCTACACCAGCTCTAACGTCTACAAACCGTACGCGAAACATGATACGAAAAAAACAAAAAAGTGAGAAGATGTCATGGTCACTGAAAACATTCACCCCCCCCTGCGCCCCCATCGCACAGACAGTGACGGTCATCAGTTGGCAAGAGGGGGGTCACTCATATTTCTATTCAGGCAGAACCACGTCTTCTTCGGGCCTTTTACATCCGGCGAGGGATGCACCGCCATAACTGGTGCTACCCTCCCCAATAGCGGGATTACTTTTGGGGTCGCGGCTGTTGTTACTCTCGAGTGCTGACGTGATAACCGCGGCGCGTTGTTCGACTGAGTTTTGTTGGTTAGCGGTTGCACACGAATGATCAAGAGGGTCAGGTATAGAGTACAAGTTCCACCAATGACTCTAAGGCCATTATAATGAAAGATGAAAGGTGGGCCCGCTTTGGGGGTGGCAGTGTGCGTTAGCGCTCAGGGATAACAGTATGGGAAACCCAGACCTACCACTAGTACCAGATTCTGTCGCCAGGGCATCCGGCATCAAAGAAACAAGAAGAGGCTGGGTGAGAAGTGGAGAAGATTCATGAACACTTTGACTACGTACGAGAGGCACATCCGCTGACCTGTTGCGCAATCCAACATCCCCTTTCCCGACATGATGCTTCCGCGCAGAGGGTTGGCGCTTGGATTTCGGCTTGGGCTTCCGCTTGGATTTCGGCTTGGGCTTTCGCTGCACCGGAGTAGGCGTCACTGGAGGAAGTGACTTGCGGGTGCGGAGGACCGGTGCCATTGGATTTTATTCTGGTTCCACCAGCGGTGTTGCTCGGTTCTGTTTGTGTTGTGATATGGTGTTGGTGGAGGAGAGAAAGAAAGAAGGAGACGAGGATTTTTCTGAAGGTGGAGATTTGGAGTTCAACAGCTGGGTTTAACTTACAGTAGCTGGCATATAATATCGTTGATTTCTCCAATAGGACAAAGGCGGCTGCCCTGTTGACTGTGAGGTTAGGGCACGGGGCCAAGGGTTGACTAATGTTAAGAAATAAAAGCCACGGGAGGGTGCCATCAGAGATATGACAATGTTATTATATATTGAAAAATGAGTATTCAGGGGGCATTTGGCAAGCCGTGGTTTGTAAGGTATGGTATCATATGTCAAACCGCTGCTCATAAGGTAGGAAAAGTCCACCTCACAAACAATGTGCAGCCAAACGCACTCTACATTACAAACCGCAACATGCCAAACAAGGCCTTACGTTTGAGCCTTGACTATTGGCCTAACATCCGGCTAAATTTTAGAATAGGTTCCTGTGACAGTACCAGTAAATCGTACCCGTGGCAAGTTTGCTATGTGGGCACCGCAACCCACCAAGAACTCACTTTTGGGGGCACTCTGCAGGGTGCCCAACAGCTCAACATAACTTTACGGCTCGGTATCACTTTGTGGCACAACTCAACTCTACATTTCAATGTAATTTTATATCTAAACCAGTCTCATTTTTAGTCTATACATAATCCTAATAGAATTTGTGCAAGAAAAAAATCTCAACCTAAAATTTGGTACATCAACTTACAAAGTAATGTTGTAGAATATGCGTATCAGTTGGGTACAACACTCTGTAATATAGATAGTCGGCCAGAAGAAAAGCAGTAACTCATTGGCAACTTGAACAGGAAAGCATAGTTTTGAAAATATAAAACCTCCTTCCTCTAACTTTATGAAAGGATGTTCAAATGTTAGAAAGTTTTGAGACATATCAGCTCTTCTCATGCCATATTGGACAATAAATATTATATTAAGATGTTATCTTGTGCTGTAATGCGATGTTGAATCACAAACTGGTGTTGGGCTACAAAGTGATGCTGAGATATCAAGTTATGTTGAGCTGTCAGGCACTTGTGTGGAGTGCCACCAAAAGTGAGCCTTGAAGCTTTTGGTAAGTCGTGGTACTAGTACCTACACTGCAACCTTGGCATAAGTATATTCCCAAAAGCTCACTGGATTTCTCATATTCACTGCCTTCTTGATCCGGTTACAGCCTGGGACCTATCTTCTTAGAGGTACCCCTGTTGCAGAGTAGGAGCAAGGCCTGGCATAGTGGATCACTGGAGGCAGGGGTCTATAGTCAGGAAAATATGTATATGAAATGCCTACCAAGATATCTATCTATAGTTGAGTGATCAATCACGACCAAGTTTAGTTAAGCATGAGCCGGTTGGTAGTGGATTTTTGGATTTTTGTTTGGGAGGAGTGGTTGGGAGACAAGTTCGCCTATGGTACTAATGTTTATTATTTGTGGGTTTTTGGGTTATAGCCAGACGTATACTGGCTCGGTGGTTCCAGGATAAATTGAGTAGTTTGAAGAGAATAGTCGACTATGATCGAGCAGCGCCAATGATTCAAGTTAGTCAAGTCAAGCAGATTATGGATCCCATGCTCGTTGATGCCGTGATCCGGAAACCCCTGTTATCGTGGCAATCGACCATCCTGTAATTGAGCAAACCTCCACTATGATCTGACCATGGCCACCGCTTATGCCTCTAGATTAGCTCTACCGTAATTATTACTATGTCAGGGGAACAGTGACAATTGAACTACTTTCAAGCATTAAGGCCTATATATACTTCTTCCAGAACATTGACCAGAGAACTGGTGTTGTATTGTTCCAGATGCATATCTCGCAGTAGTCTAGTGCTATTTCATTGGAGCATAAGTATCATCAGGTATTCCTAATACTAGCATTATAAGTTTTAAATTCTTTTCTCTTTAAGTGGATACACAGTTCTTTATCTTAAAATCTCATTGTTTTTAATAGAAGATATCTATGAAAGCCTTCAATTTTTCATCACACTTGGTGAAAATCTACACCTATATTGAGTGTTCCCAACCGTTTTGGGCAGGGCGAGAAAGCACGGCATGTTATGGCGTCAGTCTTTGATAATGACCGCCGTCCTAGGAATTAAACACCCGGCCCGGGAGTCTTAATACAAATGGTATACCCCGGCCATCATCTGCAGGGCCCAACTCTCATCTACAGGGCAATTTACAGCAACACCGGCCAGGAGGGGGGTATCAGATTGCTGCTATCTAGATATAGAGCTTTGGTTTTGTAGTGACCACAGACTTACTATATTGGGAATAGATGATGCAGTCGAGACACCTATAGGGCCCGGCCGGCCGGCCATCCCAGGTCACGATAGAGGTTAGGACGGACCACAGGACAGGTATCCGTCCTGTCCCAAGCTAAGGATAGATGGACTGGGCACTTGGGAACATTGCCTACATTCTCTGTATACAGAACATTACACCCAGAACATTACACCGCATACTACTTCAGAATAAAACAAAAAAGTAGGAACAAATGTTACAGGAACAGAAAAACACTCAGGCTTTCTCCGTATGCCTTCTGATTTATTGACATGTCTCATAGGGTAGAAAATACTATTCTATCACAGCAGAATTTTTTATTTCTAATTACAGCTATAGAGTAATTAGGGAAAAAGAAGAAAAAAAAACTCATATGGGTGACAGGTTACTCAGCTAGAGTTTGTTAGCTATAGACTAAATCCTGTTGAAGAGACAAAACTTACTATAAGTTCTAAATCAGAATCTGCCGAAACGTGCATGCAAGGCAGCAAAAAGTTGACTCTCTGGTAGAAAATATATTAGTGAAAGACTCAAAGTATTATTATGTGACAAAAATAACTGAACACTACCCAGCAATAAGAGGAAACTGCTTTGTCACATAAGTGTAATAAGCAAAGTATTTCCCCACCACGAGGTCAGGTTTGGTTCAAGTTATTTTTGTCACATAACAGTAAATAATATCTATTTCATAGTTTGGAATATATCAACTTACCAGCCTCACTCTCCTCTTCCTCAGGGTCCAGGAAGAAACGGAATGATTGACGGACAAGACGGGGAGCATACTGCTGAGAGGCTTGACTCGGGCCCCCGGGCTGCGGTGTTGCTTCATCTGCCGGTCTATCACTGACAGCGTCTTCTGCCACAACTGCCATAGAAACCGTTCCAGTCTGTGCACTACCACTTGTGTTTGCCTCTGTCACTTCGGCAATATTACCGGATTCCTCCCTACTCTCCTGGTGCTCCTGAAAAGCCATACTTGTGTTTGCCTCGGTCACTCCCGCAATATTACCGGAGTCCTCCCTACTCTGCTGGTCCTCCTGAAAAGCCATCTTAGCCGGCCCTTTACCAATGTATATCATCAGTAATAACTTCTTCACAAGGGTGAACAAAAGAAAATTGCTGCGAACAACCCTTACCTTCAAGTTGCGATGCGGGCGTAGCAACCACCCCATAGCCACTAGGGAGACTGACACAAGGTTTTCTGAAGAGTCTACGAGCTTGGACACCAGAGCCACCATCTGCGATTGTTCCTACCACATTATTGACATTTCTGCGTGCCGCTCTAGTTATCGGACCCTTGTGAGGAGTTTTCTGGACAGGCGCTTCTTAAATAAATAGAAAAAGATTAGTGGTACTCTTTTCCAATATTGATATTGAAGGAGCATGGTGTTAATCTCACTCTCAAACAAATCGTTGCCCCCCTCCTCTCCCCCATTACCATGTTCGACCAAGGCTCCACTGGTAGTCGAAGATCTAGTAATCATCCTGTGACTCCGTTGCCCAAATTGCTTCCCACTGGTATCCTCCCTTGAAGACTCGCCCACCTTCTTCTTCTTAGCAGACCTGAGATGACCCTTTTTGGTTTTTTTCGCACGTTTTTTTCCCAAATTTCCATGCCTCTTCGAAACCGCGCCTGGCCCGTAGTCCTTATCACTGTCCTCCTTGCCATAGTATCCAAGCTCGGAGCCATAATTGTTGATACGACCGGCCATTTGATTCTGTGTGGATGTCTTCCCTAAGGCAGACGTTTTTCTGGCAGTAGTTGCGGTGGTCTTGTCCGTCCCATTCCTGGTGCGGCTACTGACGGGGCTGGAAGACTCGGCCGGAGCATTTTTTTGAATACGGGGGTTACCAGACGACATTTTTTGTGAGGAAGTCGGATTCGCCGGGGGTGTTTCCGGAAAGTCTCCCTCTTCCGTAGATTCCTCGGTCACACTAGATCCTGCAGGAGGAGCTCGGCGGCGACGTTTCCCTAACATAGAAAGTAAGCCCTGGTCCACAAAATGCCGAGGGCCTTGTTAATACGACCGTTCCGTTCCGTTTTCCTATACAAAACAACCGCTATGCAACTGAAGGGTAAGGGCCAGTTTTGTTGCGATGGTTCCATTCAGGGGAGTTTCTTTGTGGAATGGTTTGACCTGTAGAAGCAGTTGGTATTGCGAATTTGGCACAATCAAGTTCCCAGAAACATATGATGCTACCACATGGCGACCTTGCTGTTATGGCTGTTTTGAAACTGAACGGTTGATGCCTTTCACATTTGCCAAACAGCCATTCTGTTGTCCTCTTTTGAAACGGAAGGGAAACTGTCATTTGTATGGGGCAACGGAACGGAACCATCGCAACGAAACAGGCCATAACAGTATTTGTACAGGAAACAGAACGAAACGATCGATCTCAATAGGCCCTCAGTTGTGAACATATCATACCTGCAGTTTTTTTCCCCCCGTACTCAGACACATCACTCTCATCCCCATTGAAAAATTCATTCTCACTCTCATCCTGCAGGGAGGGCTTCCTGTTTCGAGAACCATATTGTTCCCCGAATTCCTCATCCCATATACCGGCTAGGAATACAACTTTAGCCACAGCCCCACACAATGAGCACAAAACGTAACTTACCCATAACAGCTATAGCTTCCACAGCACTTCGATTGGCTTTGTTGTCAGGCAATCCGCCTCTCTTCAAGAACTTCTCTATAATTGCATCCCCTGCCTTAATATCCACTGGGGCATGGGGGGCAGGGGTAGATCTGTGAGGCCGGAGATTGGGAGACATTTGTTATCCCTCTGTTCCACCAAGACCGTTCCTTCGGATTCGTTGTTTGTGGCTGTGGTGTAGATGAGAGAGAGAGAGAGAAGCATTTTCTGTGTTGAGGCTGGCGGCCATCAGAAACCGGAGCACGTGAAGGAGCTTCATCAGGGCCGGTAGGGCAAGTCTCATCGTGGTGGATTTTGGCAGCATGGAGACAGGTTTTCGGGTGGGCTTACTATCCTAAAGTGGTGGTAAGAGTATTTAGTGAGAAAAAAGGCCTGCGGGTACCGCTGAACGCTACCCCACTAACCCTCCCATCTTTTAATTGACAAACTATTCATGTAATATCACTCGGAATGTGCGGCCTTGGTTGTGGGAACAATTGCCTTAACGCGATGGATGGTATGAGTTTGTCCAGCTACCCGCTGTACTACCCGGTTTATGGGCTGGGATATTCCAGAAATCACAAGAGCGTATGGCTCATTTGGCTGGTATAAGTGACGAGATATCAGCAGCCAGTCTTTCAACGGTTCCGCCAGGATTGAAAATAGGCGGACCCGACCAATCCCAACCAGACCCAACACGACATAACCCGTGGCAACCTAACGAGCCCGTTGGCTCCACATGCGCAGCTAACCAAGGGAGACCATGGGGACACTAGAGAGTTTTATGGAGGATAGCCTGTTATTCCGGGCCCTTGACGAAAGCCGAAGCCATGATGATCAATATGACTTTGGAGCTATTTGACGGGAGTAATCCCTCAATTCGAAACGCGTTTTGGAACAGTTACCATGTTAAGAAATTCGCTTAATATGCCCTTACACATGCATTAACAACTATTAACTTAATTCTGTAACTGTTCCTATCGACCCAAAACGCATTTTGAATTGACGAACTGCCCACACCAAACAGCCACTCAGGTTTTGTTTGGCTAGCTGTCAATTGAGGGTCTGTTTGGACACGACCGGTTTGTTCATTTCGCCCATACAAAGGACCGTTCCCTAATGGAACCTGTAAGGCAATTTGTATGTGTGAACTGAACGGAACGGTCGTGTCCAAACAGACCCTCAGCAGTTTGTGGATTCAAAGCTCGTTAGGCAACTGGTACCGGGCCCCAAAAATTTACTTAATACGCCCCTAAGCATTTATTAACACCTATTAGGCTAATTCCCCATCCCTTCATATTGGTCAAAAACACGCTCTGAATGGATTCAATCAACCGCCAGTCAAACAAAGCTTATATTGATAACTCAGGAAAGCACGGAAGAATTTGACCACCCTCTCACGCCAAAAATGTTCCGAGCCCTAGCCCCGAACTTCAGCTACTTCTACGGTCTCCTGAAAAAAAATTTAAATTTTCTATGAGGTCTACCTCATGTCTTTGATGCTGATGATTGCTCCTCATGGTTGGACTAAATCCATGTTACGTAAACAGCTGAATGTTGGTTACATGGGATAAAGCGTGTCCATAGACATCTTATACACTGCCAGTGTCCAGTACAGATATAGCTGGGTGCTCAGAGATCATATGCTCAATATTCCTTGGATCAATCTCTCGTTGGATATTTACTATAACTGTTCATCTGGAGGGACCCCAGACTCACAAATATAAGAGTTTTTTTTCTTTCCCCGGTCTCCTGCTCAGCATGAATTTTATTGGTAATTAACGCTGACGTCAAGGTTTAATTTGTGCACCTCTGGATTATCAGAGTTTGGGACCTCCTCAGAACCAAATCCGTAAAGCTGAAAATCCACAAGCAAACTAGAGAGCAGCAGGGTGGAGGGAAAACCAGATAGAATTACGAAGGTTTGAGAGGGAAAGCTCACTGCTGTAGTTCATCGCTTAGGCAGTTTGAGAACCAAGTTTAAAATATTTACATTTGTTTATCCTTTAATCGCTAACTATGTATATACTCTCTAGCGGTGGTTGTGAAGTAATAAAAGTTGGATGTCTAGAATGCTAGGTAGAACTATCGTCACCATTCATCTTTAGAATGGGTTATATCTCAAGCCAACCAAAACTATGGAGAATTAGCGTCTCCCATAATGTCACCTACTACAGACAATCTACTAGTACCTTCACCTTCCCCGCAAATTGAGTTTTCCAATTCCGCCAACTCAGGCTCTCTTGTATCCGTGGCAACATAAATTATCCTACAGGAAAACATCTTTCAAGCCGGAAAATTAAGTAAGTAAAATTTTCCGGGTTTTCAAGTACCATAGCCCAGATTGCACATCCCCGAGCTCAGCACACCAAAGGAAAATTCACGACCTAACTCAGGGAATCCAGCCGAACCCAACGAAGCCCGGACCGATTGGAAGGTCCCCCCAATATCAGGAAGCACTGAGGTATGATACCAACCAAGAAAGAAACACCCCGTGTATCTTGGATCTGCACCGCCCTCTACATCTTTTCCAATCACCTAGTCTTGAATTTACAGCTCCCTCTGAACAACCCATGACACCTGCAACCCCCCACCGGCGCCGCACCATCAGCTGGGCCATGGAGCTTCGGCAGCGTGGAAAATCACCGGTACTCTTTCCTGAAGAAGTGTTCAGGATCTCAGAAAGAGAAGATTTAGTTGTCAATGCTGTAGCTAGGGTGTTTTTCTGTCTTTCTCATGTACTAGTTACTTAGTTTCATCTCATATTATGTTTCATGGGGTTTCAGATAGTCTTCGGAGGTCTTCGGTAGTCTTCGGTGCTCTTCGGAGGTCTTCGGGAGTCTTCGGTGGTTTGGGATTATCTCGGGATTGGCTTATGCGGGACTCTAGGTAACATCAACCTTGGAGGATGGGAAAAATTGCTGGAAATGCCTCGAACTCATGTGAAATGCCAGATCTGTGGGTATACGGATGGAAGAGATATTAGTTGGGAGTTGTACCTAGGACTGTCTACATGAACCCCCTGCTATCCCTCAGATAGAAAAAAGTAGGACAAGCAATACGAGCATCAAGAAATATCTATTCTCTTTATCTCTATTTTATCTTCTTCCTCCTCAGCCGCCTCGCCCTCCATCATAACAATAGACAGTGCATAACTCCTCCTTGTCTTCTTTTTCTTTGCCTGTCATTTCAGGGGGTTCAGTATCTATTGTAGGGGTGCAGTTAGGAAGAAAAAAGGAGAGAAGGGGTAATGCTAGATAGGATCTTTAAGATCTAGAAACGGCATGTTATCTTGTAGTGCCAAGTAACACTAAAAGCTCCGGAGTCTTAGGACAACGGTGGCAGAATTTGTGTACAGTACAACTATAGTACTATAGCGGGGAGGTGTTCTCATACAGTACACGACAGTGGTTATTCTGCTGGTTAACTATCTCTGCCGTGTACCGGGGATTAAGGGTAAGTGAGGTGAACTTGTTCTTGCTGATTCCAGAGTCATCCGGCCCACACGAAAGCGGTTTCTCTGGTTTTGACTTTTTCCCCCTCCAAAAAAAACTGCCAAGACTGGAAGACATAATGGTTACACTCACGAAACTTTGGCCGGTTAAACTGCGGTTAAGTTCAAGTTAAGTTCAACTTGGCCTCATTTATGCTCAACCCTAACACGAAAACATATCCCTGGGTACCCGCACAGCAACCCCACGCGAAACCCACTACCCCCGTCGCCCCCGAGAAGGACCAGCGTCCCCCTAAGGGCCTGTTTGGCAACGACCGGTCCGTTCCGTTCGTACATACAAAATGGCCGTTCGCGAACGGAACCATAAGGAAATTTGTATGGGCGAACGGAACGGAACGGCCGTTGCCAAACAAGCCCTAATACATTAAAAGATGGGCCGGCTAGGTGTGTTGGATCTCGCTAACCGGTATTCGCAATTCTGTTAACCTGCCGAACTAAACCCTAGGGAGAGGAGAGGGCGGCCGGAGATAGTAGATTCCGCGAGACCCTACCGTACTCGAGTTTGCCCAATTTAACTATCTTCTCACCCATTGGTTGCCCGAGTATAGAGGTGAGAATAAGTCTACTCTACTAGTAGAGTGTGAATATCTCCTAAATTTATCTCCTAAACAAATAAAAGTTACCTATCACATTGCTTGACGCAGCCTCAGCAATTGGGGTATGCGGGGTATCATAAGTCCACTTAAATACGGGAGTTCCCACCCAGAGATCTTGAGCCCCAAAGTAAGAGCAGTCTTCAAGCCCCCAGCCCTTTTATTTTTTCCAGTCCACAACCAGTTTCAAACACCTCCAACTTCCCCTCCTACCATACGCGACATCTCGCCGTTCTGGAATCGATCAAAAGATGGGCAACTTACAATCAAACACTCCTGAAGAAGGCCATCCCACACAGCAAGGGTATGCTCACGAAATACCGCTTTTACTTATTGGCGCTTCTAATCGTTACCGCCATTAGCTCTGGCTCTGGCTCAGTCACCAACAGCAACATTCAAGGATGTTACAGCGGCAATAGTGGCTCGGGCAACACCATGAACTCCAATAACACCACCAACATCCACAACTACGTGGGCAGAAACTCTACAACCACCGACAAGCAGATTTTGCAATTGCTATACACATCTGACTACGGGTCGCACCGACGCCGGGTTCGTGAGCCAGTCCAGGGAACGTGCACCTGGGTTACCGAGCATCCCAAGTATAAGAATTGGTTTGAGACAAAAAAATCCAGCCTCCTCTGGCTATCTGCGGACCCGGGTTGCGGAAAATCCGTTATCGCTTCATTCCTTATAACACATCTAAAAACCCAAACCGATGCCACCGTCTGCTATTTCTTTTTTAAGGATGACAGCGATGAACAGAGGAGCGCAATATTTGCGCTTCGCGCCATACTGCACCAGCTTTTCGCCCAGATAAACTCCCTCTGCATATTTGCACATCAAGCGTTAAACGATAAAGGCCAGAGATTTGTAGAAGAGGTAGACACATTGTGGGATATTTTGGTTAAGGCTGTAGCTGAGGGGGGGCGCGGCCGTGTTATTTGCGTGGTGGACGCCTTAGACGAGTGCGAAGAAGTAGCTCTAGTTCCGCTTATCCATCACTTAAACCGGCTCCCTGGATCACAACATTCCGACACACATTTGAAATTCATTGTTACAAGCCGCCCCTACCACAAGATTGAGAGAGATCTTGG